CATGAACAGAGAAGCCAGATATTTCTACAAACACGAAAAATGCCCCAGCTTTGCATTATTATAATCAGTCTAAGAATGTCAGTTTTGCCTGACCTAGAAGAGGAATAAGGTGCGTAGTCTAGAGTTTCTCACTTTGCTGTTCAATTCCTGGCCGGGAGTGCTTTTTACTAGACTACACTTCTGAACCGGCTTCATCCACATTACTCCAAAAGGGATATGGTTCAGATAATTTTGTATACCAACTACAGCAATGTGCTCTACCACACACATGGGGGGGCTATCCCCCTCCAAATAATAGAAGCAGTGCTTGTAGTTATTACAAATGTTCATAATCCAAACATAATTATTTCTAACACTGAAAAATGTCAGATCAGACTGTGGGATTTCCCCCTATTTCCCTAGGCAGTGGGAGGTCTGTTAAGGGGATCAAATGGCTTATCAGTTACATGTGTGACAAAGACATCATCCACCTAGAACAGAATCTTGCTGTTAAACAGGATTTTTCTATTTCATGTTTCTGTGCGTAGCAGTACTACTTTCTGCCAGTTTCAGTGGCTCTGGAAGGACTTTCTGGTTTATGTGCTGTGCTTATGTAAACCATTTCAATCCCTGTATTGCATCAGCTAAACAGGGACAAAGTTTTTGTTTGTACTGGTTGGTATGCTGGCAGGCTAGATGGAAGGGGGAAGGAGGCAAGATATCTCACTGCAGTCTATTATTTGAATAATATTTTTTCCTAGTCAGGCTCCAGGTTGAGGCAATGGACATCCAATCACATGACCTCCCCTGCAAAGGAGCCCTGCAAAGTGGCCCTAATGAACATAAACAACATAAGAGAAGCCAATGTTGGATCAGGCCACATTGACGCCCACTTGCCTATCCTTGGCAGATCCCTTTGGAGTGGCTCACAATCCTCCCTGGTTTTCACCACCCTGAACAATTTCATGTCATCCGCAAATTTAGCCACTTCACTGTTTACTCCCAACTCCAAATAATGAATAAGAAGAAGCATCAGACCGAGTACTGATCCCTGCTTATCACCCTCCACTGTTAAAATTTCCTATTTTTCCTCTATTTCCTATTAATTAAACAGTTTTTGATCCACAAGAGGACTTGTCCTTTTATCCCATTGTTTATGATTGCCAACTATCCAGCTGATGGAGCTAACAGAAAGTTGCATCACCATTTTAGTTAAATTTTTAATATTTTAAATGTTATTGATTATACTGTAAGTGGAATTTTATTGATTATATTGTAAATGAAATAAGTCAGCTGGGTTAGGGGAGAAATATAGAGAAATGAAGCGCTGTAAGATAAGAACATTTTTGTCAACCCCCTACCCTCTAAGTATCTATACTCTAAGTGAGGATTCATATACCCCATATACCATATATTCATATATCCAAAATAGTGTCACTTTCTTATCTGCCTACTACTGGGAAGACGAATCTCTTGGATGAGGGAATCTTTTGATAATTTTGTCCCAATTCAGAGGGGGTCAATGGCTGGACTCTGCACTGGGTTTCCATTTGAAACAAAGGGAATAACACTTCCTGCCATCTGAAAGTGAGAGTTGTTTTTGTCCCCACCCATATGAAAGAATGCAGCATAAGGCTTCTGTCAGGGCTTTTTATTATTTTTTTTAAAGAGGTGCCAGAACTCTCAAGAGGGACATGAAGTTTTTAACCTGTATAATTAAAACTCATGAACTTTTAAACATCTTAAAAATAATTTTGTCAAAGAGGTTCCGGAACTCCATTCTGGTGCATTCCCCCAGAAAAAAAAATCCCTGGCTGCTGTACTGGAAGGGCTCAGCTGTCTTCTCATGGTGTCCAACCCAGGAGGAAAGATGGGGTGGCTTCATAAGTTCACTAGGCCTCCTTGGGTGCTGTCAGGATTGGGACAGATGCTGACCCGCTTGCCCTAGGTGAACAAGAATGCTATTAGGGGCCACTGCCATACCTCCCTAATCCATGCAACACTCTGATATTATTCATTTCCTTAGGCATCTCTCTCCTTCCAGTTCCCCAAAATTGCCCAATAAACCCCCAACCTCAGCCATAACAGGATTCCCCTGGCCACCTAGGACAACATATGAATGGACATAAAGAGAAAATGCACTCTCCTCATACAACACCTGTTCTGGTGCACTCTCAAAAGTTCTGCCTGGTAATGCTGCCTCAGAGAAAAGCCCTAGGGCACAGGAACTACAAAAAACCAAACAGACAGACAAAACCACCAAAACAAAAACTGAGGAGTGTAAGAGTTTCTTAAGTAAATTAAAACTGACATCATAAACTAGGCAAATCTGAAACTGCTAGTTCTTTAAGCAGTTCAGCCATGTACCATAGGACAAGAACGAAAGAATACTGTCACTTGATCCACAAATCCAAGTAGGCTATGGATATGATTCTAAAGAAGAAAAGTCAACTTTCCTTTAAAGTTTGGATCCTGACAATGTTAAGCCAGGGTCCCTCACTGTAAGGGAAATTCTGCATTTCCTTCTATTTCATAATGCTGTCTTACTTTTCCTCTTAAACTTAGCCAAAGCTCTTCAGTTTATACCTTCAGCAGTGCCATCAGAAGCACAGAGTCACAGCCTTCAAAGTGTAACTCTTTTTCAGATGGCACTGCAAAACAAATAGACTTCTGAACACTTCATTTCAGACAGGGTTCTGATATATTCAGGATAAGTCGTGCCTGCACTGTCTGCATACTTGGCATTTGGTTTAGTCCTAAATATGTATGCTATCTTTAATACACTCTTTTGCAACAGTTTTTCAATAGCTTTCACTAGCAGCTTATAAGAAGCTCCATGCATGCATGTCTGCATCTGTAAACAGCATACAGAGGAGAACAAGAAAGAAAATGAGAAAATGTAGATTAATATTACCTAATGTACATAGGCATCCTCCATGCAACAGTAAAAACCAAGTAAAAATCAGCATGGAATCCATTTTACTATATTATCTGCAAAGCTAATGAAACATTCCTCACAATATATAGTGTAAAAGAACTGAAGGGGTGTGCCATGCAATTTGATATCTTTATCTCGATATAAAGGAAAGACGTACTCAATGAGATTTTCTTCCCCCTGCCCAGTAATTCTCTGCTTACATTAAAGCTACCTTTTTGTTATTTTAAGCTTTTCAAAATCCATTTCCTGCTCCAGAAGTAAAGTATTCTTTTCTTGGAATGGAAAGATAAGAATCAACTGTGTCAAGTGCAACGAAAATACTGGTGGAACAGATTGACTTTAATGCTGCTTAGGAACATATGCATGATCCCCTGCTGGCCTTGTCATCTTATTGGAAAGGCTTTTGATAGGCTGAGTTGATAGTTCTTGTAGGTTGCGTTCAGACGGGGCATTTCAACCGGCATAAACTGTACCGGTTGGAACCGGTGCAGTTTATACCAGCTGAAACGCGATCACACTCACCTCCTGACTGCGCAGCACATCGCAATACGCCCATCCACACACAGCGGGCATCGGCGGTGTGGTTTTTTTTAAACTTAGTTTGCGCATGCGCATAGGCAGCCATCCACAGAATGGCGATCTTCACGCATGCGCAAAACACCCCGTCTTACATTTAAAGTTTAAAGGTAAGGACTTACCTTTAAAGTTTAAAGAGCAAAGTGGCCTCCCTGAGGTCCCAGACTCCTCTAAAAGTTAAACTAAGGGCCTTTTTTTTTTTTAAACAAACGCCGGGGCAAAGTTTTGCCCAAGCGCATATCGCCGACCTAAAAAAAAAATAGTGGGCGAAAATCAGAAGCCTCGGGCTTCCGAACGGAAGTGGCTCTACAAAGTTGGAGAGCGATCAGACGGGGGGGGGGGGGGAAAGGGGTTGGATACCACTACTTGGGGACCTAGTGGCAGAATACAATGGTGTAAAGCTCTTTGCAACGGTTAGGGATGGAAGGCAGATGTTCGCCGTGTGAACGCCGGTAAGTACACCGATTCCAACCGGCACCTATACCGTTGCAAATGCCCTGTCTGAATGCACCCGTAGAGAATGAAGCCACCTGTTTGTATTTCCCTGGAATGATTTTATATATAGAAAAGTGTACTATAGAATAACCACTAATCCTTCTGTCTGAAATGCCCTGAAGCCCTTAGGACATGTCAGGAGCTCATTTTTCCTTTGCGGTCACATGCACCAGTTGAAGCAGAGGGGAAGCGAGGCTATTCCCTCCAGAGGAATTAGACCCACCGTTGTGAGATCACACACACCTTTGTTGCTGCAGGCTCAGCCCATCACTGTGTGATCAGACGCAACTGCGGGTGAGTCTACATTGTGGCTGCTATTTATACTCACCCAAGACCTCTCCCCTAACAAGAGTGCAGGTCCCAGAGTGTAGGGATAAGGACAACCCATGCCCAAACCACTCCTTAGCAGACCCTTCCTGTGAAGCTGGTGTTCTGTCATCCTCACTTGTGTCAAGTGAGCTGTGGAAAACATGTGCATGATGTGACTGGAGTGGCTGTATTTCCTTCCCCGTGAGTGCATCTGATGAAACAGAACATGGTTGCATGTGGAAATTCAAACCAACATTGATGGAGCTTCCAGGAATTCTGTTGGTTGTGTCACATTCCTTACAACAGAAATTGCTTTCTTCCCTTCTTTGTTATGTGCTGTATAGGACAATGGGATTACTGTATTCTGGGAATAAGAGTGGGTAACTTCCTTCCTGACTTCATTCGGAGTTAATAGTGAGTATAAAAGGCAGCCACAATGTACCTGTGAATGAATGCAACCCCCCAAAGTAAATTACAAATATACAGTAGGGGGTGATGTTACTAATTTTTAAAATATTATCTTAGTTTCGTAACACATATATGCTACATTAAACAAATTGTGCAGCTTTAAAAATACCTAAGTTCTCAGGGGGACATTTGTATTACATTAGAGATGTTGCCAGTGACCTAGTGATTATTTTATTTATTTATTATTTATTGTACTGATATCCCACCCTATCCCATGGTGGGCTCAGGGTGGCTAAGAACAGAAATAAAATACAGTGGATATATACTTAAGAACCAGTTAAATAAAACGAACGACAGCTAAGAAACATAACATTACTCCAGAGCAGCCCAATATGCTTCCTGTTAGATGTTAACAGGATAGTAGGCATCTGCAAGCCTACTATGGGCAGGGAAGGCTGAGATGGTGGAGACATCCACCTGCTCAACTGAAGGCCTGGTAGAACAGCTCCATTTTACAGGCCCTGAGGAAATGTAGCAAGTCCTGCAGGGCCCTGATCTCAATTGGGAGCGTGTTCTACCAGGTGGGGGCCAGGGCAGAGAAGGCCCTGGCCCTGGTTGAGACTAAGTGGGCATATTTCAGGCCAGGAACTACTCATAGATATTGTTCTGCAGGCCGCAAGGCTCTCCGGGGCATATATCAGGAGAGACAGTCCTGAAGGTATGCTGGTCCCAGGCTGTGTACGGCTTTAAAGGTCAACATCATAACTTTGAAGTGGATCCAGTACTCCACTGGTAGCCAGTGGAGTTGGCGTAGCACTGGCTGAATGCATGCCCACACAGACAATGCTGTCAGCAAGTGCAGTGTTGCATTCTGCACCAGCTGGAGTTTCCGGATCAGGTTCTAGAGAGAGTTACAATAATCCAGGGTCACTGTCGCTAGGTCCCCGGGGGTGAGATATGGGGCCAACTGCCTGATCTGTCTCAGATGGAAGAAGGCAGACCTGGCAGTGGCGGTGACCTGGGCCTCCGTGGAAAGGGAGGCATCTAGGAACACCCCCAGGCTCTCCACCCTCGATGTTAGCACCCATGGAGCCCCGTCGAAGGTTGGGATCCTGATTCCTTGACTCAGCCCCCCGCGACCCAGCTGCAGGACCTCCGTCTTAGATGGATTTAGCTTCCGTCGGCTCTGTTGCAGCCACCCAGCCACCGCTTGTAACGCCTCCTCCAGATCTCCTGGGGCCGTGTCCGAGCGGCTGTCCATTAATAGACAGAGCTGGGTGTCATCTGCAGACTGACGACCACCCAGCCCATCCCTAGAATAATCTGGGCAAGGGGGATGACCTGGGCCTCCATTGAAAATGTGGCATTCAGGATCACCCCAAGGCTCTTTGGCCTTGGCCTTGGTCATGACCCCAGAGGGGTCTTTGGGTTCCACCACCACCACCCTGGATTTATGGTCCCTTGGGAGGCCCAGGGTACCTTCCCAAGCCCCTTTTCAGCCGAGAACATGCAGGCGTGATTGACCCAGGCAGAGAAAATGATTACACAAAAAGGGTTTATTAAAACAACAGTGGGGCAGGGAAAAACAAGACACGGCAAGGTGCTTTAAAAGGGGATAACAGTGTGAAAGGAAAAATAAACATAAACTAACGCAGCTACCTGTCTCTACCTCTGTCTTTGTTGGATTTAGTCTCAACTGGCTCTGCTGTACCCATCCATCCACAGTCCCTAATGCCCTGTGACTGTCCAAAATTATCTGGTGGTGGAGTTTGGCCATCTATCCATCAACAGATAGAACTGGATGCCATCAGCATACTGGTGAGAGCCCACCCCACCCCCCTGGACCAGCCGAGCAAGGGGGTACATATAGATATTAAACAATATTGGAGAATTGCCCCCTGTGGCACTCCACATTTCTCAGTGTTGCAAACCTGGCAAGTGGTTGGCATTGCACTGTGAATGGAGTCCCTCTTGAGTCCATCTTGACATCTACCGTTGTTGGATGACACAAGGATAACCATGAGTGATGTTCCAAACAGCAAGTGGTCTCAGCAACTGGGCATGTGGCACTCTCAAAGTTCTCTCATCCCCTTTAGGGTTCCTACATGGTGGGATGCACCTCTTGGGTGGCTGGATGTATGTGTTGAACCAACAATTGGACATGCATCATAGGCAGGTACATTGCAACTCTATCAGCACTGTCTATTGGGCAGCTCCATGGGGCTCTGATATGGAAATGATCACTATAAGCATTGGGCCAGTAGTAGCAATGTCTATAGTGGGATAGATGGTAGTCACCCTGATTGTACTCCCTGTGCCCCACAGTTATGTGTATGGAGTTGCACTGGTACGACATCACACAAAGTGCTCCCTTTCTGTTCAAAGCCCTTTCTACAGAGTTCCTATCACCCAATGTTCCTCCTTGTCTGTTCTAATTATGCCCAACAGGAAGCCAGAGAGATGCTACCACCTTATCATCAGATCTTTGGAGGTTTACATGGTGCCTGAGACAGCTGTGATAGTCTGAAGACTTAGCTTGGTATCCTAAGCCTCACTGTAAACCAGGTGGGAGGCAGGGGAGGAACATTTATATTTCCACTCACCTTGACTGCTGTAGGAAGTTTTGCAGTTATGCCAGGGTTATTGCTGGTATAAGATGATGCTAATGCTGGTGGTGGGACACAGGCTTTGGGAAGTTTAGAATACTGACTAATGTTCCTCCCCTGACATGCTCCTGACACTGCCCAGTTCTGTACTGGAGATGGGATTGTATTGCCTGCTGCCAATATGGTATTGGCATATCTTGGTGTTGGCATATCTCCCAGTTATATCAGCATCTCTCTCTCTCTGTATGTTTGCATTTGTGTGTGTGTGTGTGTGCCCATGCATATGTGTGTTTTATTCAATTTTATTGCAATTCAGGCCATTAGTACCTTCAATAGCCCATACAGACATGGTAACTTAATCTGAGTTGCCTCAGACAGTCAGAATATATTACGGTTGCTCGACCAGCCATATACATACAGTTATAATAAAAGTTTTTATGAACACACAGAATAAAAAGATTAGAGTTTAAAACCTAATTAAAATACAGTTTCCGTAACCTCAGTATCAGCGCACAAAATCTA